TTTAAATCTGATCTGTTAGTCTGTGTCTGTGTGACGTTGATAGGTATCAATGAGAAATGTTATCGATTCCTTTTATTTTGTCATTATGGTACAAGTTTTTTCTGCTTTTTTGATTTGTTGGTCTGGGATTATTTATTCCTTGTGTCTTCTTGGGTGTGGTTAACCTCTTTAGTTTGAAGTTTTTTTCCTAGTATCTTCTGAAGAGCTGGATTTATAGTTAGATACTGCTTAAATTTAGTTGCATCATTGCATGCTTTTCTTTCTTCATCTATTGTGATTGAAAGTTTTGCTGGGTGTGGTAGTCTGGGATGGTATCTGTCTTCTCTTAGATTTGTAGAACATCCATCCGGGTCCTCGGCTTTTAGAGTCTATATTGAGAATTCCAGTGTTAGTCTAATGGATTTGTTATATATGTTATTTAGTTTTTTACCCTTTCAGCTTTTAATGCTTTTCTATTTAATGCTTTATTATGTGTCATGTAAATATCTTTTATTTCTTTCATCTATCTGTCTATCTATCTATCTATTGCAATCTATTCATTTTGTATCCCAGCTGTAATACCCTCCCTTGAACCCTCCCAATCCCAATATTCTTCCCTCTTCTACTCCCATGCCCCTCCCCAAGTCCACTGATAGGGAGGTCCTCCTCCCCTTCATTCTGACCCTAGCCTACCAGTCTCATCAGGACTGGCTGCATTGTTTTCCTCTGTGGCCTGGTAAGGCTGCCCACCCCCCCATCATGGGGAAGTGATCAAAGAGCCAGCCACCAAGTTCGTCTATTGAGAATTCTCTGTTTAGTGCTGTACCTCATTTTTCAATTGGATTACTTGATTTGTTGCTACATAACATCTTGAGTTCTTTATATATTCTGGATATCAGCCTTCTCTCAGATATAGGGTTGGTGAAGATCCTTTCCCAGTCTGTAGGCTGTTGTTTTGTTCTGATGACAGTGTCCTTTGCTTTACAGAAACTTTTCAGTTTCATGAAGTCCTCTCTATAGATTGTTGATCTTAGAGCCTGTGCTATTCTGTTCAGGAAGTTGTCTCCGGTGCCAATGAGTTCAAGGCTCTTCCCTACTTTTTCTTCTTCTTGGATGAGTTACCACCAGCATAAGCACAAGTTCAAGGCCATCTCTAGTTCTCCATACTGTGAACAATCTGTGCACACTGTCTGCAAAGGCCTGACATAGAGTGGTAGATAGCCTGTGTCTCCTCAGGAGAACTAGAAGCAAGGCTAGAGCTGTAGGCTTTCACTCAAATTCTCAACTGCCCTCTGGTGGCATTAAGATGTGTCCTCTTCATCATGATTTGATTCCAGGCAGGCTCAGATATTCATGTCTCACAGAGGTTCTTCCATTCAATCCTTACCTCTACTCTGGAGAGTATACGCTATAAAAACATTGATTTCTGGAGGTAACCATAGATGCTCTATTTTCCCTTGGGTCCAGTGAGCCTCAGCAATAGCAAAAAATCAGGCACCCCTTCAGGGTAATGATACTCTAAAAGAATGTTCAGGTAATTTTTAACTACTCACTAATGCTACAGTGTTTAAGGCTTAGCTGTGCTCCCTCCTGATGGAAAAATGTGATCCTGGCAAGTCCTGAGTTGTAAGCAACAGACCCTCTTTAAGAAATATATCTGATAATTGAATTTTAAAAGTCTCTTTGGCATTGTATACATGATTGCATTAAGACAGTGTGTTGCCAGTTATATTATCTTAGTGCCAAATGCACTAATTAGTCTATGGTAATGTGCAAATAAATTTATTTATTTGTGGTACTGTACAAATAAATTTATTTAAATTTGTGTATTTCTCTGTGCAATAATAACAAATTGTTATTATTATTTATTGAATAACAAAATTCTGAAAAACTTTTCTTCTTTAAATACAAGTTATGTAAAACATTCTGGATAGCATGTTCTAGATGAACACTGTACAAAAAGAGATTGGAAGCAGGCAACTAGAAGTGAATAGGCCAACTGATGACCAATGTCCATGAACAGAGTTAGCATTCGGTCAGTCTGTTTCCTTCCATCCACCAAGTGAGCATGGCCTTTCTCAGTCTTCTGCCTGCACAGGCCATGAATGTACTTTTCTGGCCACTTACACAGAGAGAGTGTCCATTAGGAGCTGTGGCACCTCTGTAGGCCTTGTTGCTTTGAAGGCTTTGTATTTCCAGTGTTGCCTGGACTTTACACCCAGACATTTATGATGTAATGCTTTCTCCATGCCTGGTTCTTGGTATTACTTACTGTTTACTCTAGAGATGTGGGGCTCTAGTAAACCTCAGAGCACTGTTGCTTGGGACCAGCTGAGCCACACCTCTTCCACTGGAGCATGAGCCCCTCCACATCTGTCTTTTGGCTATTGCCTCAGTTTCTTTCTCATATCTTATACTTTTATCTTTCCTATTGTTAAGTAATTCATACATTAAAATTTCTCTGTTTAACTGTACCCATGATTTCTATATCTCAAGTGAACACACTTCAAAGACAACTTAGACCCATAGCTCTTGAAGACTCTGGGGGGTCCTATATTTAACTTTAAGTTATATAACTTACTACTTTTAGTATAAGTTAAATTTATTGAAATTTGTTTTGTATCATGCAACATTTTACAAATTAGAAATAATTTGCAACTGCATTACGTCAGATACCTCCACTCAAATATTAGGTGGAGCACATAGAACCTTGTGAAAGAGCTGGGGGGGGGGTGTATGAGTCAGAGGGGTCGAGGATACCAGAAAACCAAGGACCAAAGAATGAATGAAGCAGGGCTCATAGGGGCTCACAAAGACTGCAGTGTCAGTCACAGAGCTTGCATGAGTCTGTACTAGGTCCTGTGCACACATGCTGTGGTTGTTTGGCTTGGGTTGTTTGTGGTAATCCTAACAGTGGGCATGGTGGCTGGCGGAGGGTTGTTTCTGATTCTGTTGCCTGGCCTTGGGATCATTTTCCTCCTTCTGAGTTGCTTCATCCAGCCTTGATATGAGGGTTTGTAACTGTTCTTATTGCATTTTGTTATGCTGTGTTCGGTTGATGTCACTGGGAAGCCTGTTCTTTTCTGAAGGCAAAGCAGTGAATCTTGGGAAGAGGGAAGGTACCCTGGAGGGAACTGGGAGGATTGGAGGCAAGGGAGGCTGTGGTTGGGATATAGTGTATGAGAAAAGAAGAAATTCTTAAAAATAAGTGAATAAAAGAAAATTCTTCCGTTAAAACAATGTAGTATGCATTGTCATGGCTGTTGCTTCTCAAAAGCCAAGACAAGGTCTGGATGTCACCCTACAAATATATTATCTCACTACTGCCCTCTTGTGGTCTGGTGCCTATCAGAACTACACTTTCTCAGCAACATTGTGGGCCCCTCAGGCCTACTGAAGGGTTAGCTCATTATAGCAAATTTCCCCCCAAAGAAATTCAATATAGCACTGAAATGAGATCAAAATGAACCAGAGTAAACATTTTTACTTTCCCCATCTTTCAATATTATTGGGTTCCATTATAATATACTTAAAATTATTAGAGTAAAATCTGTGTAGATTCTTTAAAAACTTAAAGCACATGTCCTTTCTTGCTGAAAGTGTGATTTTATTTTTTTGTAAAAATGGTTTATAAAATCATTTATACATGGCATAAATAACACTTTAATGTTTAATACTTTTTGTTTTTTAGAGAAATACAAACAGCATGCTTGGACATTAGAGTTGATAGTAAGGTTTTCTTCGTAACACATCTGAGGTACATAAGCTTGTTTAGTAACAATGTAATGTTTAAAAATACTGAATATACCTCAAGTTTATGCAATGTTGAAAATAGGTGAAATAACATTAATGAAGTCTCCCTATCCATTAGACAATCTACATCAAGCTCACGACTATCCAGAAATTCAGTCTTTAAGTTAGTGCCTAGATTAAAGCCCATGTGCTCTGGGCTCAGTCAGTCTGTGACAGTGACTTTATAATTTTCTCAGATGAGGTATCTTATTTTCCCACCTGTATATTATATGTAATGAAAGAAATGACATGTATAACTTATTGGTACAATGACATATTTTCTACAACATTCGTACAGATGATTGTCGACATGGTATAGAATCTCTCACCAACCTTATGGACCCCAGCTTGTCTCAACATTGAGGCTAAGTGAGAGGCCCAAAGGGTGGACACAGCACTACTGTTTCCTGTAGAGCATACAGAGCTTTGAGAACATTTTCCTAAGCCCACAACACCTGTCCCTCTGGATAGACGAGAAAAAAAGACTACCATGTGTGGGCAGCCACACCAAGCCTCATCGGTGTCTTTCCTACTGGGCACTTTACAGATCCTCCCTGACTCTGGTTCTTCTGTGGAGATATCCAGTGTGGACTCAGTTACATGGTTATGCTCAGAATATCTTTCATGGGTTTCTATCTAAGGTCTTAACTCAAGATGTCTCCTGTGCCATCTCCTTCTTGGGCAGCATGCTATCTCACCAAGTCTCTGGGCAGAAGAATGTGCAGGAGGACAGCTCAGTGATACTGTTACCTGCAGCAACAGCACCCTGAGCATTAGGAATACTGGGTCATTTGAGCTCTGGAAATATCCTCCCACATCTTTTCTTAAGATCTTTCCTGCACACAGCCCTCCCAACAGCCCGGAGTCAGGGTATATCAGAAAGAGAATTTCCTGTTTGCCTGGTTCTTGGTGAGGTCTGTTTAAGGAATCAATGCAGAACAATGTAGGCTCTACTGGGAAAATCAATAAACACCAAGAAGCCAATGCTATCTAAGAGGTAAACTTTATTTCTTTACACTGATAAGGCTTTGGGAAACAATTTTCTTTCACCTTCAGTTCTTCTTTGCCTAGTACCAGAGCCAATGCCAAGAGGCCTAATCTTAACAAAGAAAGAATCCCATTACCCATGCAACTAGTTCAGGAGGAGAGTGAGGAAGGCTAAGAGAGGAACAGCATTGGTTCAAGGCTGGTCTTAGTCTGTGGCTCTTTGGTTCCTCAAAGATTGCAGGTCAGCTACAGTGTCCAGAACTAGGACAAGAGCTTGAACACCCTGCAAATCTGTTCTCAGGGCACTCAGAACACTGAGGCTGCCGAAGGTAGAATCGAGGAAATCGGTGTGATACCAAAGAGAGGCTGCCTCTAAGGCCAGAAATAAAACAGGTGGAAACACAGCAGGAGGGAGCCGGAGGGGCACTGGGAGGGAGACAGGAGGCAGGAGACTGGGGACCTCGAAGAGGGCACTTGGGTGGACACTTAGCAGAGAGCTGGCATTTCTGCTGGTTTTGCTGGGAAGACATCTTGGACAAACTTCAGATATCCTGAGGGGGGAAAATGAAGACATTTTGATAACCTAGTGAATACAAATCTTTTTGCTTGATATTTTTCTATGCAGCCTGAAACTCTGCAACTAAATCTGCGAGTCTAGAAACTGTCATTACAACAGAGAAGCCCTAGTTTCTCAGCACGGAAGAAGCCCAAGGGGGTAAACCAGAATTAGGTTAACCTCCTCCTCACTGTTCTGTTCCTCCTAAGACTAACTTTAAATGTTTGAAGTTCTTGGTGGTTTTCCAAATCTTAAGTTATCAAGTAAGCTTTTCTCCAATGGTCTACTTTGTTGCATTCACGATGCTTTCTGTCCTTTCATTACTTTGTTCCTCAGCCTCCCCTTGCTTTGCTGTCCTGTGTCATGGGTTCTGACTAAGTTCTATTCTTCAGCCCTATGTAGATGCTCTTGTCCTACAATAGCCTCCTTTCCTTCATGCCTTCTCATTACTCTAATATCTAGTTAACATTTGCTTTTCCTGGGATGGTAGTTTTGATTCATCTTCATGATTTCCTGTGCCTGAAATTACCTATTAGCTCTCACTCATTCTCCATCCTGGACTAGCTTGTCCCGTTCAGCTTGGCCAGAGCCAAGCCATCCATTCCTCAAACAGCCATTAGATCAGTAAGAAGACTTACCTTGTTCTCTTATTATCAGGCAGGAAATGGAAATGAGGAGACTCTATGAGTAGAAGTCTTTTATACGTCCACCACTCTAAACTCAGAATGAGCTATGGATGATGTGAAAGCTGTTTGCTGATCAGGTGGCTTTGATGACAACAGCCCACATGCTGGTGGCTCTGTCATTTTCTCACTATGTCACTCTGGGTCACGACCAGTTCCTTATGAGTGTCTTCCCAGAACATCTCTTCTCTCCGCAAGCCTTGTTAATATTTCCATAAAGGCAAGATAATAGCTTACAAGGATGTTTACAAGAAAGAAGCTTGGGGACTGGACCGAAGTTACACTTCTGGAAGATTCCAAAGAGTGAAGCAAGTCTAAGGCCACAGGTGCTGGGCCAGCTTAGGGTGCAAATAGGAAATATCAAAGGTTTCACCGAGTTTGGAACCAGAGATAAATGCACTTGTGACCACAGTGACAACTCAGTGTATTTGATTCAGGAAGCAAAAGCACTTAGAACATTGAGGAATTAGAGACAGAGCCTTCTGGAGAGGGTGTTGGTTACTGCTTCCACTCCTCAAGCCAAGGTACTGACAGCCAGACAGGGTGAAGGAGAAGCTCCAACTTTGGGTAGTGTTTGCCCTGGAAGCTCTGCCTCTCAAATTCTGACCAGAGACCCAGGCATATTTTCTGTATTCACAACCCTTCTTTTCAATTTGCTTGTGTATGTTGACTGCAATGTACTTTCTCCCTGGCCAGGACCCTCCTTTTTTTTTCATATGCCGCTCCTTACCCTGTTTGTTTTTCTTGCCCACTCTTTCAAACTTTTTTTTTAACCAATAAACTTTCTTGCTTCTCTAGCTTGTCAGTACACAGCAGAAAGCACTACAACCTTCAGAGATTTCACCCTACTGTGCTTAACCACTATCAAAATCAGAGCAAAAATTTAAAAAGCACTTTGGTAGGTTGACATAATCATAAAACTGGCTGATCTAAAAGGCCCATCTAGTATGCCCCTTCTCTTCCGAGAAGGACAAGGCTGTCTCTTGTGATGCCTGTCCCTAGTCTTTTCTTTGTATCTTAAACTTGGATTGCATCGTTGGCATTCCATATTCCCATGCTTATTTTTCAGCATTTGTCATTCTGCCTAGAATGAAATCTCAGTGTTGCTTCTTTATGTCCACTGCCTATACAATTCCTGATGTTCAATGAACCGATAAACATTTTATGGCTGAGGCCAAGGTGTTCCTTTCTTTCACTCTTTGAAAGAGAGAGAGAATCTCGAAGGCCAGATCAGCAACAAGCATCTGGGGCAGGTGTGGGAAGATGCTGGTAAGGTGCAATCATTGGTGTTGGTCAGCAGCAAGAGCTTTGAAGGAGTCTGGCTCCGGCTGTGAATCCCTTGGGATTCAGAGACGACCAGACCAGGTAAGCTCACAGATATATCTTTAAGGTTGTATTTTAATTTATTAGAATCAGAGTTGCTGAGAGCTAACATTCTGGCTTCTTCTTCTTCTTATTATTATTTTTCTCTCATTTGGTTTTCTTTCTAAACATTTACCTGAAACAGAAAAGGTTGTTAGGGGAGAGATAATAGCTGGTGTATATGCACATGCGAATTTAAAATATTTTAAGGACGGTCACAGTGTGCAAACGAAGCGTCATATTGTTATTCGGTTCATCTCCTTTATTAGAGAAGATTACTAACACCTTACATTATTGTATCAAACAGTATTGTGTACCTTTATAATTCTTGCTGTACCTCTCCCAGTTAGAGGATGGTGAGTTACTAAAACCATATCCATACAGACAAATTACGTTCTTTCTCTGCCATGACCTCATAAAATATTGCAAGTTATTTTAAACAATTGGAAAATAATGTTATATTATATTAATCTAAACTATCAATGAATTTACTGATTCAACAATAAAAGGGCCCATGAAAATTTTCTTTTACATTTTTTAATTTAGTGTGTGTGCCCAACCAAAAAAAGAAAATCTTATAAGAGCTTTTCAAGCATCACTGTAAGCAGAGTGATTTTCTTATCCAGAGCCTATATGGGCAGAGTTTTGTGAATTTAAAGATTAAGATTTTTTTTCTTAATAGTGGTACAAATGAGATGATATGAGAGAGATAAAGACAAATGAAATATATTCCTAATCTCCCACCCATCATACATCTTCACTCAATATTACATAATAACTGTCAATCACTTTATACAGAAAACAAAACAAACAAAACTGAATCTTAAGAGTATCCATAACGCAAGTATGATATAAATCCCGGTGTCCTGATTCCAAGAGCTTTGTTCCTCTCATTTCTGTACTATGTGAATTCATGAAACTGATGCAGAGCAGACACCAACATGGGGAGGGCTGGGTGTGCCCAAAGACAGAAACTCTTCCTGGTGGTACTTACACAAGAGATGGTCTTAGAAAATGGCATGGGGTTCATCAAGTGGCGAGGGAGAAGCTGGCAGTTGGGACTGAGATAAGAAGACACAGGCACAGTACAGAGATGGGGATGAGCTTGGGCTGTTCCAGAGACTGTGATCATAGTAGTATCAGGAGCAAGAGAAGAAAACATGACACTGTGGCTGTATAGCCAGGAGGAAGTGCTTTATGTGTGGTGTTGGGTGGTTTTACCCTGTATATTCCTGGCTTCTGCCTTATATTCCTTGGAACTCTGCTGTGAAAGTTGTTCAACCTTCTTCTCTTCTGATGGGTACTTCTCTCCCACCACCAATTCTGCCTCTGCCTGTTGCTTTAGCTTCATAGTTTTATATGGAGGAGAAGCTGGAAAAGTACGCACCTTGGAATCAGAACTGGTATTTGAGCCCCTTACATGCCTTTTCACATGTTTTGAACCTTTAAAAAAAGCCAATTAGTAAAATGAAGTTAAAAAAAGAAAACTGAAATGCTATTGTACTGTGACAATATGAATAAATTTGATGAGGGAAGGTTTCAGAAATATGAGTTCTATTCTAAAATGGCATTAATTTTTAATCTTTAACTATTTGGGCTCTCTGGCAGAAGCAGCCACAGATGATGTACCTTGTACTCACGCACTGCTCTATTCAGAGCAGTTAGGTTTACCATCTACTGAATTACAGATGTTATTTAATAAGACCATAATGCTTAGAAATAAGGCCAGAGATAACTGACTGTCTCTCTTTTTTCAATTTTTATTTATTATTTATTACAATTTATTCACTTTGTATCCCAGCTGTGGCCCCCTCCTTCACTTCCTCCCAATCCCATCCTCCCTCCCTTTTTTTCCCCTATGCCTCTTCTCTAGCCAACTGATAGGGGAGGTCCTCCTCCCCTTCTATCTGACTCTAGACTTTCAGGTCTCATCAGGACTGGCTGCAGGAGGGGAGGACTATGGCCGTATTTCCCTTTTAGAATGATTACTATGGTCTCCATCTGGATGCTTAAAGCTGGAGTGTGTGGTAAGCAGTTAGTCGGCAGGTATGATCTAAGCCGGAGTTAGCCTTGGAAAGAGCTCTTAACTAATGAACTTGTAGAGAAAAGGTTTAGTTGTAGAATGAATGGTGAGTCTCTGCTTTGTTGAGGCCTGATTGGCCACAGCTGGTACATTCCCCAGCTCCACTCTTATCACCTGTGTACTTCCTTACCACAATGCCTGCCTAAGGACTCATGAATGTTATGGATTCCTATCTGGCTTAGGTGTTCCCTTTAATGAAAGGGTGAGGTACCAGCCAGGCCAACATCTGCATGCATGAGATTCTTGTCAAGCTAATCCTTAAGTGATGAAAGAACAGAAAAAAAGGATCATCCTTTAGCCTGAGTGGTTGGGTCAGCCTTTGAAACTTCTAGCCTCCTACAGGCTAGATGGACAGGAAGCAAATGTGGGATTCACTGTGCTTCCAGTTGGCACAGTGATGGTCATAATCTATACTCAATATTCAGGACCCATGTGTCTTATAGTGAGTAGAAGAAGGATCAAGATTTATTCAGCATAACACGTTTTCATCACTTCTATGAGGTAGGCTTACAATCCAGTCACATTACTCTACCTGTATTACATGGACTAAAGACGTGGCAAACATGCAATACAGACACTAGCATGAGGGTGGCTGGGTGTTTATTATATATATGTATACCATATATACCATATATATAATGGTACTTAAATGTAGTCCATGTCTGTACAGCAACTATTTTTAACTACCATTATATATATAATATGGTGTTTAATACACACACACACACACACACACACACACAATATGGTATATAATATAATATGGTATATAGTATGGTAGTCAAAAACAGTGTGAGGAAAACAAAGCAAAGCACCACAACTGTACAGTGCACAGCATTCTGTGGG